TCCCGGTGGGGGATGGCGGTGGTGCCTGAAGGGGGTGCTGAGGGGGATAGGGCCCGGGCCTTCCGTGTCGAGATGAGTAGCGTTGGGCTTCAGCCTGCCGAGTAGCGGCCCGAGATGATCGCGTCACGGAGTTTGTAGCTCCCCAGGTGCTGGCTGCTGTGGAAAGGCTGCCTGGGTCCAAGCAGCTTTACAGGCTAAATATAGGTTGGCACGTCTTGCAGCGTCGGTACTGTAACTTGCAGGAGTGCTGCTCTTTTTAGAAAGTCCAAGAAGGCTATAAAACTCTGTGGCCCGCAAAAGGCTTGGGAGGGAGAGGACCAGAAATAATTTTTAAGCACGTTTGTGGGTGAAGTGGGGTGATTGCCAAAGAGTATTGGCCGTGATGTATAAATAACGTGTTTTTGACAGCATTACTGTGACTTGTGTAACTGTCTAGTTGTTTTATTCTTACTTTCAGATGCTGCTGGACCAGGGCTGATCGTGTTGCCAAGCAGAGTGCTATTTTAAGCAGCTTGATGATGGAAGACTTCAGAAATATTGCCGATGAGACATTTCCAAGCTTCTTGGGCCATTCACTGAGTAGCAGTGCAAGTGTCATTTTTGAAAATGTTACTATTTCCTCAAACCCTGGCTTACCTGTTGCTGCTTCAACTGTTGCCAGGAGTAAAACGGGCTGTGACAATAGGTGAGACTATCGGTTAATAGCACTTAATCATACAAAAAACAATTGACTGGTTTGAAACATTTCACTTTGGAGAGGAAAAATTCTTTTGACAGATTATTTGGTAGATGATAAAAGTATGTACAAATTAGTAGCATACTAATCAGCAAACATAGGATTGATTGTATTAGCAGTGAAAAATCTGCATTACATTCATAACTCATAAGTACTTAACTTTTATTAAAATCATCCTCTAAAAGAGGAATTTAGTTTTTAGACTGATAAGGTAACAATAAAATTTCTTTTAACTCAACTCTTGAAGTCTGAAGTCATATAGAGAGTAATATATTTTTTACATGTGTGTTCTCTTAACTCTGTTAACTGTTCATTTAACTTACCTGAATCTGGCTCATTTTAGAAAGGGTAGTGTAAGAACTAGTGTTATGGATGCGAATTAAAATTTAACACAATTTATAATGATTTGTTCAGCAAGGAGTAGAGCAAAGAGTAACAATTGGAAGCCTTTGCTCACTTACCTGCTGCCCCATGACTTAACAAGAAGTAAGATCAGACTTTTATACCCTGTCTTTCCAGAAGTGTGTGTTCCAAATGGGACAGCACTAGCCACTAAAAATGATGATGTGGTGTTTCTCTAAAGAACTACAGAAGACTGGAGAGAATCATTCTGGGTACATATGTGTACCTGTAAATACAGATTGGCTAGAAAATGCTAAAATATTCAAATAATTGAACTTATAGGAGATGTGATCATCATCACATCAATGTGATTTCCTCCTCCCCCTCCCCCCCCTCCCCCGCAATTCTTTGGAATACAGGAGAGGTGCATATTAGAATGATTCTGTTGTGTGTTTTTCCTCCCCACCTTTACAGGCTTTCTGATGTCTGTGCATCCTATTTAGAAGAGAAACATTCACCTCCATCAGGATCTTCTCACAGTAATCAGTCAGATCCTGAGCCAATGGGGAGATTTGCCCTCAGCTTTCGTGATGACATGTAAGTGAGATGATAGTTAAAATCTAACTCTGTCCTAAAATGCACATACCAGTATGTAGTATGTAGATTTATATGTACTATAAGCTGATTATGGAATACTTCAGAATTGAATTGCCCACCTCAGCAGCAGCTTCTACTATTGGCCTTTTGATGGCAGCAACTGGAGAGCTCAGCTGTGCATTAGCCTGTTAGCTTACAGTGTTTGGCAGCCAAGGCAGCTTTTGCTACTAAAACAGCTCTTCCACGTTTTCTGTAGAGGGGTAGTGGCAGGTTGTGTGGAAGCATCCTGTTTAGTGCTACCACTTAGGCTGTAGAGCCCTACGTGAACAGCGTTCTGCTGTTTAATTGACTAATTGGGCATCTTGTACATGACAGGAATGAATCTAGAAGTGATTTTTTTTTTGAACTATGGTGTTTTGTTTTGTTATCACACTAAAAATTTCCTAAGTGTGATTAATTAATTGACTTATTTGAATCTGGCTTGTATTTACCTAGGTTACATTACATAATGTAGAATTAAGCTGATGTTTCTGGTTCATGTCATGTGTGAGAATAATAGTTTGCACTGATTTAAATCTGTTCCAAGTAAATATCATGCAGTTTGCATACAGAAAGGAACATCAATTTCTATTAAATTTAGCTTCCTTGTAGCCTCAGTGATTGCTATTTCTTAAGAAATAACTAGTGTTAGTGAAATAATTTGGAGAGCATTACTAAGCAGTGGAAGTCTTGAAAGCTGTTGCAAAGGTTATTCTAACCAGGCATTAAAATTGGAGAATTTATTAAATCTCTATATATAGAGATGTTGTATACTAATGTTGATCTATATATCTCACTGAGTGATTTTTTCATTGAAATAATTCTCTTTCTAGGGAAGTTGCTATACAAGTTAAAGAACCACAGCCAACTTCTGTTGATTTGAAAGAATCCCACTCAATATACGGAGAGCAAGATCAGAATGTCATTGAGCATTCAAATTGCAGTCAAGATACCTTACTTGAGGTATTGCCACTTGAACGATTGGAAGGTATTAAAATTTGAGAAAAATTTTATACTTATTCTCAGTGTAATTAGCTTTTTATGCTATAGATGTCTTCTCTTAACCCTTTCACTGTTTTATGGCATAGTGTAAATGGGTTTTGAAAAAGAATCTCTTTGATTTGAACAAACTGAAAACAGAGGAATTGTGTGGTTGACATTGTGTTCTTAGATTTCTCCCCAAAGTACAAAGCTAGACAGGAAGCTGGTGAAAACAATGTTTGCTATAAAATACCATAGTTAGAATACTAGTAGGAATCTGAATTAATTTCAGGAACTTTACTTGTGGAAAAAGTGTATGTAAGTTGTTTTCTACCCCTTCTCTTTCAGTAGGTGTAAGTCTATGAGATTGTATTTTAACTAAAGTCTATTTTCTTGCTGTATTCCAACCTGTAATAGGTGATCTTTAACTGCAGTTATAGAAGCTGGAAACCTACTTTTCTAGTGAGATGATGCATGAAAAAGTAGTTTGGAATACTTGCTGTGAAAACTATGCTTTTTTGAAGTATGAATGGAGTAGTGGAAACAAAATAATATTCTGTAACTTATTTTAAAAGCACGGCTATTGATATTAAACTTGTTTGGGTTTTTTGCTACTGCCAGTCCTGTGATTAAGTTCTGCTCGTTCCTTAAAATTCAGTAAATATACTTGGTAAATACATACTTCTAGTCATTACCCTTTTCTAAGCTTTATCTGAATATTTGCATAGGTCTTCATGAGGTAAGTATTAATAATTTAATAGAGAGCATACTCAATTAGAAAGTATTATGGTTTGTGATATAAATGGGTCTTTATGAAACACACTTCTAATGGTGAAGTGTTGACTTCAGTCACTTATTATTGTAGTTTTGAGGAAGTGGCAGTAACTATGGCAACAAAAATCACGATGCTTTGGAAAACTGGGACTGCCCGGTGTTTGGACTTGATAGTGCCTGATGGTATTTAGTTCATTGGTTTTAACTTGTTTATTCAAGTTTTAGGGTTCTAGTCCAGAAATTGCCTTTTAATCCCATCTATTATTTAAGAATTAAGAACCTTTTCTGCTAAAATCTGTATGTGCATGTGTAAAATGTCCTCTGTCTTGTGGGACTTGCAGTTGGATTATGGGTGGGTATAATACAACGACAAATGGAAGCTGCTTACAAGTGATTCAAAAAAAGAATTGGCCCAATAGGTGAAATACAGCAGTGGAACAGAACACTTGTTCCTACTTCTGCTAGTGCAACTTGGGACTCCTTACTTTTTTGCACTGCATTATAGAAATCCTTAAGGCAGTAATTGTCTTGTATATTTTTTACAATTCTAGCCCTGATGAAGCCCTGCCTTTTTAATTACTCCCAGATACTTTTGATCATTGTTATAAGAACATGTAAACTTTGGTATTGTGATAAAGTGTACATTTCAGGATTATTTTTATGGTGTATGCCAAGATCTTCAAGAGGTTCGGTCTGCTATCTTACAGAATAGTTAGCACTTAGTAGTATAACAAGAGCAAAATAAAATACTGATTACACTACATTCTTTTGTTCCAGATTTGTCAACTGGAATATGTTTTCTTCCAGAAAGTAAGAATAACAAGGTGAAATCTTTTTTACATACAGTGAAATTAAAAGTTTTCTAATATTAATCTTGTACTAGGCTTAATTCTGTGAGAGGAGGAGGGAGGGAATTGAACTGGGTTTATTGTCTTATGTTGCGTATCCCTTAAGTTTGTAACAGTGCTAGTGTGCTGAATGTGTCATGCCTCACTTTGCCTCCTTTTTGCAGATTGCTTAACATAATTAGTACCATGGGAGCATGACTCCACCGAATCTTTCTCAATTGTGAAAATTGTTGTTTACTCCTACCCTCTGCTGTCTTGTAGTTCTTTATCCATGTAAAGACCTTACATTTTATCCTAATTGTAGTTTAGCTTAGTGAAAAGCTTTTTGAGGAACTTCTTTGAATGCTTTTGGAAATTGAAGTAGACAGTATACACCTGATTTGACTTGCCCCTGTACTTGTTAATTGCTTGGAGGAATATTAGTTCAGATTACTTCTTCAGTGTCCTCAACATTAAAAACTGCACCATTTGTAAGAACACAATCTTCCTGCTGCCTCTGTGTGGTTTGTTTTGGTTTGGTGGTTTTTTTTTTTTCCTCTCTATCCCAAAGGTAGCACATAGCTGCAGGTATTGACAGGCAGGGCTATGCTTGAGCTGTTTTTATCTACTGTGTTAGAGAAGCTGACAATTATGGGCACAGAGATACAAGGGAGGCAGGAATGGGAGATTTCATGGCCCTTACAGAAAATATGCCTTAGGTTGCAGCCAGATGCTGTCCAGTATGTGCTCCTTAATGTGTCAGCTGGTATTTAGTAATTTGATTCAGTTCTCTTTAATTTGATTTTTCTAGAAGCTGCAGTGGTCAGTGAGTTGCAGTTGAATGCTCATAGGCTGTCATCTGAAAACCATAATTCAAGTCCCTTTCAAATTTTTTACTTTCTGAACTTTGACTTTTTTGCTGTCTGTCAAAGATGAGCTGTTTTATCACAAAGAATGTGAGACGAAATCCAAAACAGATGTTACATCGTGCTGTTTTTAAAAATCGTTCAGGTATATGAAAGATACAATATTTACAGTTAGCTAGATTTCAGCTGAAATACTACTTTGTAAGTAATTTAGTATGCTCATTTGAAGAAATTATCAACAAAGGGTTGATCTGGGTGTACGATTTCTGAAAAAGCACTGTTTTAGCAGCATAGGAAACTATTGAGAGTTGTCTTTGTACTTTTTAAGTTGGGATTGCAGCTTAATGAATGGGGGGACAATTTTTTCAAGTGTAAACTATTTAATGCAATGGTTCAGTATTTTATTTTTGAGTTTTTTTAAGTTTGGTGTCATTCAGATGCTTTTTCCCTCTTTCCCCTTTATGGTCCCTGTATTTCTTGCATGTATCCATTCTGGAAGCTAGCAGGCAAAGTCCGTGGGAAATAGAATGTTTGCTGGGATAAATAGGAAAAAAAAAAGTGAGGCAGAGTTTTGGAATATTATTAACCTCATTAATTGTTTATTATTAACTGAATTTATATGATAGCTAGTAACTCCTAGAAACATTTCTGTATGGATGCTTTCCACAGGTTGGTCCATCTGAACCTTCTGAAAAGCTGATAGAAGGTGAAATCTCAAGTGATCATCTTAGCAATAGCCTTTCAAGTTTTTTGGAAAATGAGAAACTCTCATCTCTTGCAAGCTCAGAAGAAGATTCCACTGGTAGGTGTATTTATAACTCTGGGTAGTTGACTCTAGAATTCTGACAACATCATTGCATACTTGAGAAGAAAGGTATTGCTTTACTGAAGTATTTAATATAGGATTACGCTTGATCAAAAACTAGTATTAGGAGTATTGAAGAAAACTGTTCATTGGGAAACTGGCTGTTTTAAAACTGTAACAGGAGTAGGTGGCTATAGAATTTGTCAGAGAAAATCACAATTGGAAGTTTAACCTAAAAAATTAAATAACAGTCCTCAGTTAATGTGAATCAAAACTACAGGTAGAAATGTGGGCATTCATTTAATAAAGTGGTAACCCTAGCTACAGTTTCAATTTAGATTAATAGAGATAAACTTTTATGATGAAGAACATGTATTTGCAGTTAGAATTAACTTTTACTTGAGTTTCAGTTCTCTTTAGATGCCGCACATGCAGGATGACACCCAAGTTGGAAGTCTCGTTTACCCATAGGGATGAAAGTGAGAGCTTAAGTTCTGTATAACTAAACAAGAGTTTTGAAATTTCTGTGCCCTTCCAGTGGCTGCCGTTGAAGGAGAAACATGCTCTTCTGCATTAATGCAGTTGACTTTGCACATAACTTGAAGGATGATAGGGTACGTCCTCAGATGCCCCAAGAATGAGGAAGGCAGAGTGATAAATAGGTTTACTGCCGTTTACTGAGATCAAGCAGCCCTGCATTCAAGTAGGGTTACTGGATTTCTCCCTGTTATATCTACAGACGTCATGACTATCTTTTGAAGTCTTGTTGTTCTTTCTCGTTGCATAACTTCACTTGTGCGTTAAGCATATAAAAATGAAGTTAATAGTTTGCTGAGTAAAGATACTATTTTTTTCCACCCAAGGGGATGGAATTACTTTTATCTGCCCTCCTAAGGAGTTGGTAGTCTTTAGTTGGAAATACTTGTCTATTCAGTACTGTCACCAGTACAGGTAAAGCTAACTGATGTTTTTATTTTTCCTGGTCAGAGCGCAATGTACTAATTTTTATCATGTAATTCTGTATTCAGTGTAAATTTGGCAGCTGAGTGGTTCTAAAAATAAGGAGGAAGTCTCTGGTATCTGAGGTAAAATACATTAATCTACTTCCTCATTATTTGGAAGATAGTGGATCATTATTTCAGTTTCATGAAGAAGAAATTAAGACATAGGTAAATAAGATTAAAACAATTCTTGTGTTGTTGTTAATTTAAGTTTGAATTGTAGGTATTTGGCTACCATTCAGGTAACTAACCAATCCTTATATAATTTTTAAAGCACTCTGTGCACATTTGTTCTGAGGATCGGTATTAGTCCTCTTTCAAAAATTGAAGAAACTTAGCCTTCTGTAATCCTTCCACCTTCTCCAGTATCATATGTGGAAACAGAGCCATGATGCGGATTTTTCACTTATTGACTCTCAAATGTAACAGATCCTGATTGCTTTGCTGTAATATCAAAGTTGCTGAGCATCCATAGCTTCCAATTCAACTAAATCGCATTTTGCTGAAAGAGAAAAAAAGCTTCTGTAAATCAGGCTCTTTGTACAGGCCACTGGCAAAACTGGGAATGCAAAAATAACGACTTACCTGAGTGTGTATATATGTACTTTTTTCCTCTACATTCTTGGCATTGTGTAGACCTCTGGCAGAAGGAAATACTGAGAAGATTCTTCAAAATTTCCTTTTTGGGAAGAAGAATTGAAATATACTACAAAGGCAAAATCGCTGGAGAATTCTTAAACCATCACCAGCAACCTGAAAATGAACATTTCTTAAATTATGTGGAAAACAGAATATAGTTGTGAGTTTATAAATGCAAGGCCTGTTTGAGTATACTGGGATGTTTTTTATAAGCAAAAACAGACAGGATACTGTTTCCTGGGGATAAAAGAATAAAAAGTAAAGATGTCAAACTTCTCGGAATATGTTTTACAATGGTTTTAAGAGTGCATTTAACCATGCCCTAAAAAGCTGACTGATGTTTGGATCTTTAAAAACAAACAAACAAACAAAAGCCCTGGAAACTCTCCTCTCCTCCCAGACCCCACAAATTAAAAAAACAGCCCCAAAACAAGAAAAATTGTGTCTTGGAAAACTTCTGACTTGGCAGATAGGAATAGTACTGTTCTTAGTAATAGCGCTTAACATTTTTTGCCATTTTAATATAGGACTATGCTTTCAGTCACTTTCTGTGAAGTTTGAAAAATGCTACATATATTTTACTTTTAATTTATGATTATGTATATGATTTGCTAATTGGAATGTGGTGGTGTATAGATCATGTGAAGGAAGATGAGTCACTTGACAGCCTGGGAGTTAACATGCTAGCTTATAGTCATCTTGTTTTGCTGTATATCACTAGTAACGGAGTAAGACAATTACATGTTTCTGTGACCCAATTATTTTAAGGGAAGAACAGGATAATTCTGCTCTGACTGTGTGAATATATTGTGAGACTCAATGTATTAAAAATTATGAAGTTGCTTTGATAATATGTCAGGTGATATAAAATGTCCATGAAAGGTGAATAGGATATTTTCTTCTGTTTCAATAGATGATGATATTGATGATGAAGAGTTCTTTGATAACCAACTAGAAGCCTATTTTGAGCAACTGATACAACCAGAAATGACAAGAGGAGACGTCGACATACAGAAACTCTCGGAATGCTGTACAGTGCTGAAGCTTTCTGAAAATGGCTTATTTCAAGTAGGTTTAAAGTAAAGTTCAAAGCTCAACATACCCAATGGCCCTTAAACATGGTAGCATAATTGAGGGTTGTCTGCCAGGGTGAACTGGGTTTTATTTCTTTCCTGACAAACCCAAATATTGTCCGACAGGTAGCCTGTACAGCAAAGGATTCTTTTTAAATTTAAAGATAGCAAATACAGCTCTAAACTAGAAACAAAGCTGTTTGAGTGAGCTTCTGACTTTTTCTGTTCCCTCTGCAAGGTTTTCCTTGGGGGGAAAAAAAAAAAGGAAAAGGAAAGAAGGTAGGTAGCTATTTTTGTATTTATTTTCCTCTTTCCTGTAGTGCAGAGCTAGCAGCGGATTCATCTGCTTGTTAGAGAAGGTCTTGTTGTTTATGAGATAAGGTGGAATTGGGTAAGTAGCTGGCTGTCCCAAGAGGCATTAGTCAGGAAGGCTTGCAGCGAAGCCGAAGAGTTTCCTATTATGGTGTCTCTTTTATTCAAGCCTCCATTCAGGTTTCCCATCCCTCTCTAATCCTGCTCCTCACACTCCTCTTTGTCCTGTGCATAATCTTCTCCTTTCTCCTGATAAGCAGCTCTGGTAGAGAACATTGTTAATTCTGTAACTTGATCTTGCAAAGGGGTTAAAAAAAAAAAAACAAAGAAACTCCTAAACCTGGATTTCTGTCCCTTCTCTGGGATGATGGAGACTTGTCCTCAGAGAAATCCTATAATAACTAATATAGCATCCGTAGTATTTCTTGAAGATGGACTTTTTCTGCTGGACTACTTAATACTGCATTTCTTAATTCTTATTACAAAAGTAAAAATTGCTTTTAGAGTTTTGGATTGTTTGTGCTGGTCAGAACTTAGTGTACTTCTGAGACATTTTCTTGAACGCTTTAAGGTATGAATGTTTCTTATACACCTTGCTTCCCCTTTCAGCTTCCTAGTGGTGGTTTTTATTGTCAGAGATGGTAAGATGTTTGTAGGTAAGCATTTGGGATCCTCTCAAGTCCACTAAGAGAAATTATATCATTGGTAATTAAGCAGAAGCCGCTACTGGTACTGTTGTCTTGTGATGGCATGATTTTAATTTTGATTACCAGCCTCTGAATGCAAAGAATTTTTGATGAAAGATAAATCTCTATAAGAAAGCTAATACCCATAAAATGCTTGCTTTACCCTGTCCCCTCCAGCCCCAGCAAGCTGGTCAGCTGAACTGAAACTAAGGCCATCTTTTGATCTCGCTTGTAACTTGCTCGTAGCATCCAGGAGATGGTCCTATTGTCTGTGTAGGAATTGCTTAATTTTAATCTGATGGTTCTGTGACAAACTGCTTTCAGTAGTTTAACTTGTTGCTATTCTTAATTAGAGTTACAGTTTTAACTGCAACAAAATTCAAAAAACAGAATGGAATTTTCTTTTAAGACAGTGATTAAACTTGTTGAAAAGAAATTTAATTCACTACTGACAAAAGATTCTGTTGTATTTTTTGTTTCTGTAACTATTCAGGTAACATGCTGGCACTTATTTTCTATCATACAACTAGTTTATAAAATCCTTTTGATTACTGGTTTGTTATCTTGGATAGCAATCTCCAAGGTTTTATTAAGTATATAGTATCGCAGAGACTCGTTTTTCCAGGCGAGTAAATAAATCTTTTAAATAAGTGGTCAGTGTAAGAAAGGTTAAGTGTAGAGCAGCAACTGGCTCTTTAGGTTTAAGTTTGAGCAGCAGTTGGTTCCATTACAAATAGAGTGCCAGGAATTAAGTGCTTTTCCGTTTTCTTGGCTTTGCAACGACGGATGCGATCCTGGCAGTTGCATGCTTGACCAGATTGGGAAAGTGTGATTCATTTAAACAGTTAAATAAACTGTAGCTTCTGAAATTTCAGAAATTTCCCAACTGACATCAGAGTTTCTAAGCTGTGGGAAGTGATATGTTAACCCTGTAAAAGCAGTTTGCATAGGCTGCCAGTTGCTGACCGACGGCTGTACGTGAAGAAAGGAATAGGTGGTTGTCTGAAGAGTGAGAATAACACAGTTCTGCTGTCTGACCTCAGGTCTTCTCTACTTGTGTAAGATGTTCCTGCTTCACTGCCATTGTAGATAGGCAGTGGGGTAGGTACAACAGGTTCTGAGTTGGATTTGGAGTCCTCATCCAGCAGTGGGTCAACCAGAAGGGGAAGAGGAGTAGCATGGTGCCCTTGTTAAAGGGAATGAAAAGATTTAATAGGAATAAGAAGAGATCCTCCATCTTCTTGCTGTGTATGCCGTTGGAGGCAGATGCATGGATTGGCATAGCCAGGAACTATTGTCCTTGGTGGTGGTGCTGGCAGCTAGAGGTGCCTCTGGCAGTGGCACATGAGCGAACAAAGTATGATAATCTTTTTACTAGAGAATTTTTTAACATTGTAAATACAACTGTAGTGTTAATTTTTTTTTTCTTTGGTATATCTGTTCTAGTGTAACTTAAATCTTCATTTTTTTTAAAAGGAGAACTTTCAGGTTCCTGACACTTACCAGGCTGTGACAGGAGTAGACTCTGGAAATGCTAGTGATGAAGATTCACAAAATCAAGGGATAACTGGATGTCCTGTGCAGAGAGAAATGCTGCCCAGAGCAGTATGGCAACTGGTATGAAATTGTCATTTAAATTTCTGTTTATCATATAGAGTAAGACTGTAGTAGAAGGTGGCAGTGCGTTTGAAACTAACTCAGAGATTGAACTAACAACCCAAACTTTCTTTACAAAAAATTAATAACATCACTTTGTTTTCAGACATATTTTTCATACACAGTTAACTTGGACTATTTTGTACCTAGAACTATTAACACAAACAGTTAACAACTGCTCTTCTGACACTTTTAAAATGATTATTGTTTTCTAAGAATTCCATGACTACTGGAGATGTGCTAGATTCCTGCACTGCTGCTGAGTTGCGGTTAGATTCACTGTATCTTCAGTGCATGAACAGCCATAAAGCTGATGTCTCGGATGTCCTTCCAAAGCAAGAAATACAGTCCTCTGAGTGTCAGGCTGCTTCTTTTGATGCAGAAGTACTACATACAGCAAGAGGAATTTTGGGGCACTACACCACTCCTAAAGTTCTTCTTAGTGCAAATGCACCTCAAACAGATGCAACTGGATGTGAAGTAGGTCTTGCTGATACTTACCTGTCTCCTACTGCAGACAGCTGTGAGAACATAAGTTTAGCTACAACAGACAAAGGTAGGTTCCTTTAGATATAATCCGTCTATACAGTTGTGACCAGACTTCATTGCATGGAAGAAGAAATAAAAATTATAAGCTATGCATTTTTCTTTAGTTGTGCAAGTTGGTAATAAAAACCAATGTAGCATGAATAAATTTTGACTTGTTTTTGTTTTAAAAAATACTGACTGTGGTATATTGCTCTTAACTGTTGTTTATTTGGTTATGAAACTAGTTTAAGCTTGCAGTTGCAGCAACTTGAGCTACCCTTTTTTTGAACTCCTTAATCTAAACTTAAGAGACTTTGCCATATTCCTTTTTATTTTATCAACAGTGTAGCATTTGATATATCTTTCAGGTGATTTACCACACAGCATTGTCTATCAAAATGAAGAGGGCAAATGGGTGACTGATCTTGCATATTATACTTCATTTGATGAAGAACAAGATTTAAATCTGTCTGAAGATGATATAAATGAGGAGTTCATTACTGGATGTATGTAGTCTTGTTCGTTTTTAGTTCGCTGTTGTTATCTGTAATAGTGTTAAGTAATCTATCTTCCTATTTGTTTTTTTTTTCACTTGAACAAATCAGTATTTGGTGTTGCAAAGCCTCCAGACTTTAGATACTACAAATTATTTGAAAGCTGATGTTGATAGTAGCCTATAATATTATCGTTAGTTATAATTGACAGCTTCTTTCCATGTTTCCTACTCTTCACATGAAGAGTCTTCGGTTTTGTTTCAAAAAGCATTCTAACATCTGTCACTGGTACTTATCGTATGAGCAAAAGTAACTCCTGTAGCTGTCATTTCCACAATTTTTCCTTTGGACTTTAATTATTGTTATCCTTTCTTTCAAGAAGATGAAACAGTAGTCATTCTGTATTGCATGATGGTTATAAGACAGGAAATAACTGTAAACAAGAAATGACTACAAAGTCAACTGGAATGTGAAAAGAGCTGCTGAATTCACTAGCTGGTGATTTTTTTGTGAACCCTTTGGGAATGTCTTGATGCTGAAAGATGGTACCGTTACTGAAAAATGTTGGAGCTTATTGAGGGGCTTTACTGGACTCTCATCTTCTAACAAATTCCAGGCTGCTTGAACCTCTGTTTACTTAAAGTTGTTTGTTTTCCTTAAGCTGTCTCAGACTGATCTGCATGAGAGTCTGTATGTTTGTCATACAGGCTTGGATAATATGCACGTAGTACCGTAAACAAAACAATTCCTTAACACCAAAATGTCATCTGGTCATCTGTTTTACTAGACAGATTCAAGCAATGTGTGCAACAGTATTTCTCCTAGTCTCTTCTAGTTTCTAAACTAGACATATGGATGGGCAAATATATTCTAAAGATGTTCATGGTCCACTCAAGGTTGTTCTTTCTTTCAAAGAGAATACTGTATATGTTGCTGTCTAGAATTGTTTATTTTGAATGAGTGATCAAACAGGGTTGATTGGTTGAAATAGTGTTTTTCAACACTGAAGTGGTTTTCTGCTGGAACAAGCAAATATGATCCAATTTGGTAGAAACTTCCCTATCTAGTATGTCAGTGAAGCAGCGCTCCTCCAGTATTTTTCAAATGCCAGGATATTTCAGACACTTTCCTGCATCTCAGACTCGGGTTGTCGAGTGGTTAGAATATTTGACTGTTGTAAATTTTTTCAAGGCTGTTTAGCCTTTTCCTACCTGATAGATTTTTAAAGGAATTCTGCTTTTGAACTGATTGGCTTACCTGTTCACATGATAGAAGACGTGCGCTTACAGATTCAATGTGGTTAGCATTCTTCTGGCTGCTAGTTTGCTTGTCTGTTTGCAGTGCTCAAGTGTGATGCTTGACACCTGAGAGATTTTATTTGTAGGGACAGAAAGGAAATGTTACATCTGATGCTTCTGAGTCTCATTTATGACATGTCTACCTCTGTCAGCAAACTGTCCACACAGTGTATTCTTGTATAGAATAGTGCAGGATTGCTCACTTGACAGAGTTTGGTGCTTTAGGAAGTGTTCAGAGAGCTGTATGGCTTATACAGAGGATTAAGGAAGAACTGATATTGACTTAGAGTTAAGCCAGATATAATAATGTGTCATTGATAGTGCTAGGTTGTGTTTAAGAAGTGCAGTTGGATTGCTCAATAAAGATGTATTCCAACTTTGTTTCTTTCCTCAGAGTATGTATTGTGACTTCCCATACGTAATTTTATGAACAGCTGTATTCACTTCGCAAGCTTGTGTCCATTCTTGACTTATTCCTCCATTTGCCATGTGTCCTCTATGACTAGGGATGTTGTGTGTACAAAGCCACATATTTTATAAGTTTTGATGGGCTTAATGATACATTAACATTGAAATAAGGTGGTATCACAGTATCTCTTGATCAGCAGTTTTTCACATCATTTTGTTGAAGAGACTTTAAGTGTTCATTGCTCTGTAATTGGTAATTGTGAAAATGGTACAAGCATTTGAATTTAAAAGAAGTATTGATTTATTTGGCCAATTAATTTGCACAGGTATTTCATGAGCTGGTACAGACCAGTCTGTTTCTTTTGCTCCAATTCACAGGCACCACCTTGGTGAAATTTTCAAAACCAAATGTAGTAAAAGTTTGTTCGGAAGTAGCCACATGATGCTCAATTCTAGCTAGTATGGGTAGCATAACCTTTGAAAAGTTATAGTTTGGTTTGGGGCTAAGGCTATAAGAGGCTTTCTTTATTCACCACTAAGTTAGTTAGCTAAACGCTGATTTTACTTTGGATCCTAAAGATCCAGGGAGTAATTTTTTAAAATGAATTTCATTCGAACTTTTCTCACCATAATGGGATGGAATAACTCCTAGTGTGTCAAAACTGTCATAACTCCAAACTTTCTCAGATGTAGAATTAAATATTGCGGTATCTGTCCCTCAAAATTCAGTTTAATGATGCAAAATAGTAATGACAGGACTTAATAACTTATGCCTTATTTTAATAAATGTTCTCTTTGGTTTTAAGCTGAAGCAGCAGCTATGATTGCACAAGATCAGGAAGAATTTGAGAAAGCACACAAACTTGTGCAGGTAACTAATTACTTCAATGTAAACAGAATAGTTCTCTAATTTATTTGCAAGTTACAACTTCTGAAATGTCTTTGTCTGCAGGTGGAAAAAGTAGACATAGTAAATGCATCTGAATTAGCAGATACTTCATGGAAATCTGCCAATAGCTGCATTCTGCTGAGAACATCTGATCTTGATAAAGATGCCAGTTATTTACGTTTGTCTTTGGGGGAGTTCTTTGGTCAGAGATCTGAAGCTCTTGGTTGTCTTGGTGGAGGCAGTGATGTGAAACGGGTATGTATCTTAACGTTAATATTAAGACACAAGGAAAGGACAAGAACAACAACAGCTAGCACTACTTTTGTTTTTTTTTATATTGTAACTAATTCTTTCTGAGAACTACTTTTTTAAGTTCACTTGTGAAGGAAATTCTCTACGTGTGACAGGTCTGGATTGGCTTTTGTTTCCCATCTGGAATTTCTGATGTGAAGGGCTGGCTGGTGTTATTGATGAACCTCGATCTTCACCTTTTGGTCAGAAACTGATTATGTGTAGGATTAGAGAGAGAAAAGTACATCATATACAGGGTGCACTTTGGAGGTCCAAGCAAACGATCCACTTAGTAATTGAATGAAATGCTGCTCAGACAGGGGTATTTGAACAGTGAGAGTATCTTTGAACAGCCGTTGATAGTTGATGTGCTATCTAGGGAAATGCCTGACTTCAGTAAAAAATGTATTCATCTAGACTTTAACTTAATAACATACTTCTGTATGCTTCTTGCATCTATCTGATACCTGTCTCTTCTCTTATCTGATGTTGGTAGACAGTATCTCATCTGTGTTGCAGACAAAAAAAAAAGGCAGGTAGGTGTGTACAGTGGGAGGAAGAAGTCAAATATGCTTGTGTAATTCAGTCGTGTCCTGGTGAATTGGTAGAGTTGGCATGTTCGGTCCTGGTGCATTCAGAGGCTGAATGGCAGAGCATGCCTCCAGGCAGAGATGATGAGAGCATATGTACTTTCTTTTGTCTAACTGGTATAAAGTTTATTTTATGTGTATATTGGAAGTGTATGTGTTTGGATTAGGCATTTGCAATGCTAGGAGGCATATGTTATTTCTCAGTGGTATGAGAACCAAACACCAACTAGGGAGGCACTGTGGCTGAAACTGCTTTGCAAGCCCGCTGAACCTTTTTATTAATGATTAAATTTACTCATGCTGTATTCTGGGGTAATTTTTTCTTTTATAGCCATCTTTTGGTTACTACATTACATCTCCGAAGAAAAGGCAACCTGTTGCTTTGCTAAGGCAATCTGATTCATCGGGAGGTGACACTGGCCAAGAGATTTCGCAGTTGTCTGAGGTGTTTCCAGGTAATTATAGAACAGAAGGGTCAGCCCTAGACAGTGTTTATAACAGTAGTTAAGAATTACTTGTATATAGCTATTAAAGACTATTAAGAGTAATCCATGATAGAAAGACTCTAGTTTTCATTTACCAAATATCTTTTTTGCTGTGAGCACCTCCCCCACCCGCCTTCCCCCAGAAAAACACAGAACCTAAACACTTACAAGAGGGAACATTCTAATACTAAGTACTACCCTAAATTGTCTTAGATATTTCAGCATTTCCAGATACTGGATAACTACCAGAATATTTTGTAATAATTAAAGTCTGTTCAGAGTTTTCCTGTTGAAAAAGCTGTATAAATGTGTTGCCAAAAAACAAACAAGCAACCAACCCCAGAAAATTGGTCTGTTTGCTCATACAGGTATAGAGGATATAAGGAAAGAAGGAAAACAATTTAGGTTATAGCTGAGCTGACAATGTGTGCATAAACACAGTCTATGTTTTTTCCTGCCATCTCTAAAAGAAAAAAAATTTACACTCCCATGATATCTGCTTAACTTAAAGTAATAATTTAGGAGATTCCTCCAAAATCTTATATGTAAAGATCACAGCATGCATTTTGGTGCATATATACGCCTGTCAACTTAATAAGGTATGTTTAGGAAAGGATGAGTGCATTTTAAAGCATCTCTACTGCTCTTGATAGAACTGTGGCAACATCAATCTTTGTGAACCTGCTTGTACAGTCAGTGCAGTGCCTTATATGCTTTTTTGCATTGGTGAAAAATATCCATCAGGCTTTTATGGAGTCGCTTCCTTGAAACAGCTTTACAGCTGTAATTTTCCTCATGCTGAGACCTTGCAAATATTTTTAAAGGGTCTGTAATTATTATTTTTTTAAAAATCTAGTGTTAGTATGCTTAAATTCATTATACAGTAATCTGGATTTTTGTCAAAAAATACCAGGAGTTCACTGAGTTCATGACCTCTGTTCAATTAAATTATAGTTATAATTGTTGCTTTGAGTAATAGAAGAATACCCTAATGTGCTCTGCAGTTCTTTTGATATGAGGGTTGCTATAAATGCTAGAGAAAATAGGTATTTGGGTCACTTTGTGGACAAGATATTAATAGTTACTGCCATCTGATTTTCAGTAGTACTGGCAATAATAATCTTTATCAGCAGTACCAGTATGCAATTCCTGCTTAAGGAGTAGCAGATGGAGAGGCAGCTGAGAAGTCAGCAACCTGAGGAGGGTGTTACTTGAAATACAAAGTATATCCAAACCCCAAATATCTACTGTAAGAACAGAAGTAAAGAAGAAAAAAAAAAAAAAAAAAAAAAAAAAAAAAAGAAAAAAACAACCAAACAAAAAACTAACCAAACAAAACCCAACCCCCCTTCCCCACCAAAAACCCCAAACCAATAATGTTTGCTGTTTCATGCTTGTTTTCTCACTAATCAGAGCATCTTTAAAAGCTGGTTTTAGTGTTCTAGAGAGTCCAGATGTTTTCCTTCAAGCAGGAACTTGTTTGTTGAAATCGTAGCCTCTAGATCTCATATGAACAATACCTCCTAGTCTGGGTTTGATCTCCTAATCAAGAAGATTATTCGTGGCTTTGATGGTTTCAGGAACATACCTGTCCCTCCTAAACATACTCCATCGAAATCAGCAGTTCACTGCTGTGTAACTCAGTCAAACCCTGTCTCCAGCATAAGAAAATTGGCTTTACTCAGATTTAACTCTTCTAATTTTCTCCTGGAGTTTTGTCTATGTTCATATTACCTTGCAAACACCATTTTATGAAAAGGTTTGTTTAGCTTGTGCTAATATGATAAGCTACCTGAAAATAAAATGTGAAGAGTGTGAGCATGGTATTCTTAATGCCGTCTAATTTTGTGACTTGAATGTAAACTTTGAGTACTGTACAGGAAACAATTGATGTTGCAGTATTTGGATTTGTGCCATTGTAACAGCTCTTTTTTCGATAGAGCATTAAAGGAGCATGTGTATCCCACGAATGCAGGTGTTCAGACAATTTACTGTAAGTTAATTTCCTGTCTTTTTCTTCTTAGATGACTTAGAAGCACAAACAAAAGAACATGCAAATTCTACCAGCTGTGAAGGTGCATGGCATAGGATGGGTAATACATCTGGAATACATAAAAGCATTAATATAGAAGCTGCTACCAAAAGTAAAGCAAAGGTATTTCTCTTGTATTTTTCTATTAAGTGCTACTATGAACTTGAACAAAGTTCAAATAACTCCAGTTATTATTGTTGCCTTGAATATGGCTAAATTTGAACTTTCATATCAGCTCATTGCTTTTTATATTGATCATTTGAATCCTAGCAGGTGCCACTGTTTGTTAGGATAGTTTCATTAGAATGCCATGATCCTGTAGTGAGTCAGGTGTTACTATCACCATCTCATTTTCCTTTTTCTCCCCACTTCACTTTTGGAGTTGCTTGGTCTGTCAGCCCATAGTTTTTTCAGAGATTCCTAGGCTATTGATGTTCTGTGATCAGGTTTCTGAATTTCAGTTTTGTCTTCCCCTTCTATTTTTTTAAATGAAACAACTTGTCTTTAGCATGTGAATAAAGTCTTTTACTTGATAAAATTAGAAAATATTGATGTGAAGTAAATCTGAAAAAGGTGTATTTTCAATTTGGTAATCCTAGACACCTACCTTCTCTGCTTTAACGTGTCATGTTCTTTTTCTGATCAGGCAGAACACATACATACCCATTCAGTTACAGAAACAGCCCTTTTCCTACATGATCACTGAAAGGAGTCAGTAGCTAGCAAGTTTGACTTCGTTTAGCTGATCAAATGATGAAGGCTGCAGACTTAAATGCAGAAGGACTGGTTGGATCACTCATCTGACTGTGGACTGCCATAATTGCTTTTCTTTCTAATTTATCCTTATTCCTATTGTTCTAGATAAAAAATGAGTAATTTGGGGTTTTGATAATGTATTTCCAGATTCTAATCTACCCTGCCCTCAACTTGTATAAGTTTAGGTCATCCTCAGTCTAATATGGATGCTAAAATGTTCTCAAAACACAGACAAATCACAGAATGGTTGAGGGCAGAA